GTAAGTGTCGCACCAGACAACCAGTTGGTAGAAGTCTTAAGGGGTCCAGACGTCTCAGGATTGAGGTAATGTACTTGGGTTGCTATGCTAAGGCGGTCGTCAGGCTGCTCGTCGTTCTTGGAAGTCGTTGGGATGAAGACCTTCGTAGTATATATCGATTACATTTTGTATGTCACGTTTTTCTATTAACAGCTTACGTCTTTGATATTTCTCGATGTTTTTTTTTCTGTCTTTTTCACTCCTACCCTTCCTTATTTCTTTTCCCCGTCATCGTTATAAATTTCCCTCGCTGTACGGATACTTCCCGTCAGCAGTACGTGATCTCCAATATTCATCTCCACCAACGCTAAGAAACAACAGATACCCTCTCCAGTTAGAAGTAAAAACGAAAAAGAAAAAAAAAACAGAAAACAAAAGAAAAAAAAGCAATTACAAGGAAGGGGCGCTGATCTCTCGTGGCTGCCCCTGAAGTCGGAGTTCATAACGCGGGCGAGCGGCTTCAGGGAAAACATCGTCAGACCCTCTGGCCTCTATCGGGAGGGCGTCCGGGGAGGAAGGGCTTTTCAAAGGACTCTTCCGTAGGGGTTATTCTATTAGGGTCTACTTCTCTTTCTTTAATGGGTGTTTCTATGTTTTCCTTCGTTTATAGTTTTCGCTTTGTTTTTTATGTGTTTCTCTTCGTCTCTCTGTTTCTCTGTCTATATATTTATCTATCTATCACTCCCTACTCACCTATCAGTCTCTCTCTATATATATATTTATATATCTGCCTATATATCTATATATCTCTGTCTCTGTATTTCTCTCTCTGTCTCTGTCTCTCTCTCAGTTTCTATTTATCTATCTATCTATTTATCATCTATCTATCTATCTCACATGCCTACCTTTACTAACAATGATCAGACAGAATGCTCAAATGTCACCTCCTATAATCCCGCGTTCCCTTAAGATGAGGAAGGATAAGGCGAGGGATGAGCCAAGATGAGAGACGGCAGCATCTGTTCATCATCTCGGGATCACGCTGAGAAACACAGGAGGCGAAGGAGGAGAGCTTGATGCTGTCGCTCTCTCCTCGTCACTTCGAGATGGAGGAGATCGAGGCTGTGATTGACTCGGGGACTTTCTGATATCATCTTTCTCGTCGCGGAAACGGCGATGAGATGGATTCTGGGACTGGCTTTGTTTGTTTTTGTTGTTGCTGTCGTGCGGGTTTATGGGTTTGTGTGTTGTCTGTCTTTTGTCGTCTCTTTGTCTGGTTCTTTCTGGGACTGTGTCGCTTACTTTTAGAGTGGTCATATTTTTTTCTACTTTTTCTGTTTTCTCTCTTTCCTCTTCTCTCTCTCTCTCTTCTCTCTTCTCTTCTCCTCTCTCTCTCTCTCTCTCTCTCTCTCTCTCTCTCTCTCTCTCTCTCTCTCTCTCTCTCTCTCTCTCTCTCTCTCTCTCTCTCTCTCTCCTCTCTCTCTCTCTCTCTCTTCTCTCTCTCTCTTCTCTCTCTCTCTCTCTCTCTCTCTCTCTCTCTCTCTCTCTCTCTCTCTCTCTCTCTCTCTCTCTCTCTCTCTCTCTCTCTAGTCTCTCTCTCCTCTCTCTCTCATCTCTCTCTGCACTTCCTCACACACACACACACACACACTCACACACACACTCTCTCACACACATCTCCACACACACACACACTCAACACACACACACACACACACACACACACACACACACACACATAGCCATCTCTTTCCCTTCCTCTCGCTTATTATTTCAAAATAGGGATGTTAAGAAAGGATACTAAAGATAATGCCCTTCTCTTTTTGTCACGTGACCTGACTAGAATGCAATGCCTCTATATAGCTCGTATAAATGTGTATTTATTTTTATCGTATCCTCTTTCAGCCTCCACCGCTGTGTCGTTCTTTTTATATATGGACGAATTATCACGTGATTCGAGGCAATTTTATTCTAGTAAGAGGAGAAGAGATATTAATGAACAGGCTAAATTCCACGAGGAAGAGGTTTTATTGATACATTCCGTTGGTGTTTCTCCATGAGAATCCTTTGATTGTGATGAAGACGTAACGGAGAAACGCGTCAAGTGCCTTTCTTTCCTTGTGAATTCTTTCCTTCGCGTCCCAACCTTTTCCTACGCTTCGTGTCACTCATCTCTTGACAGCGAGGCAATCTCCCTTGCCATGTTGCTTGGAGGCCTTTCAAGATGGCCGACAATTCCTCTTTGAAAAGAAGAAAAAAACCCTCCCTGGGTGGACGAGAAAGGGAATTTCCACCGCGGAAAAAAGAAAAACCCACGAAAAAAAAGATCCCTCTTTCTAATTGGTCTTATTTCTTCTTAGTCTTGACGGACAGGAAGAAACGTAGACATAATCTTAGGGTCTTATCAGCTTAGTGTCCGTTTCGTCAATTTTCTTTGTGTGATTGGCTCTTGGTTTCCTTGTTTGCGATTTTTCTTGTCTGGATTTTTGTTGCTGTTTGTTTGTTATTATCTAATTTAGGA